AAAATCCAGGACAGACTGAATCAACCGCATCTCAGAGTGTTTCGACATTGTGTAACGTGATGGAACAGTACGTTTTACATGTTTGAGCGTTTTTTCAAGGTAAAAGATGCATTAAGTCTTTAGAATAGAATAGAATAGAATAGATGGTTTATTAGTGTCAGTATATGTGTACACATATTTACACACGTCAGATTTAACCTATCTGTACATATAATATATACTATACTAAACTTACTATACTAAACTAATATAATATTTATATCAATGACAGTGAAATTGACCCTATTTTGCCAGAAGAGTGAAAAATGATTGAATGTTGTGTTGAGCTATTGAAACCTTTTGAAGAAGCTACACGGGAACTAAGTAACTCTCATACACTTATATCATCTGTGATTTCAATAATTAAAATGCTTGGAAAAAACTTGATGATTATTTAACAAGACCACAGGATTCTGAACCAATTCGGGTGGCTGTCACGACTCTGAAAACTGAAGTTTCAGCAAAATTTTCTCTGTTGGAACAATTTATGTCATAGCCACGTACTTAGACCCGCGCTATAAGCACAAGTTACACCAGTGACCGAGGAAAAGATTAAGGAGGATATTTTGAAGATTAGGACAAACATAGAGAATGACAACTCGAACTCTCAACTATCTCCAAATGGGAGATTCCCTAGTGAAAGTTACGGAACAACCTGGAACATCCGGTACAGCCAGAAAGCCATACTTGACAAGCGATCTTGCCATGATGCTAGATTCGTCAAGTGAAGATGAGAGTCAAGAAATATCAGAAAATGCTTCCCCTGATGCTGTTCTCAAGAATGAATTGCTTTCGTATCGAAATAAAGCAAGGCTGAATATAAATGAAAATCCACTTAAATGGTGGAGCGTTAATCGTACCGAATTAAAAATTTTATCTGGAATAGCATGGAGAGTTTTATCGCCTCCACCAGCTAGTGTTCCCAGTGAACAGTTATTTAGTAGCGCAGGATTAATTTATGAACCTCTGAGAAATAGACTCGAACCTGAAAAGGCCGCAGTACTACTTTTTATTAAATATAATTCAACAATTTTTAAATTTTCGTACTAAAAATTTGTTTATGAAATAAGAATATTAAAAAACTCCCATTTTTTTAACTGATTTCTGTACGTATACTAAGTTTCTTAAAAAAAAAACTTGAGATCCCCATCCGCATCCGCATCCGCGGATGTGAGCCTCCAAAATTCCGCATCCGCAACATCTCTGCTTTGAAATTTTGCAAACGTTTTAAGGTTATCGTAATCATGGTTAATTGTTCATCAAAATGTTTATATTGAATAGAATACTGTTATTATTAGTATTTTACACTGCACTACTCCACGTTGATATACGTGTCCTTGCAAAAATATTGATGACGTCATCACAAATTTTGTAAAGTAAAAACTCACTTGAAACATACGTGTGGCACGTTTCTTTATATTTACTTTTTAACATTACATGTATTCATATATTTACTTCAACTTATAGGGGTTCTCATAAAAAAATTAAATTCGCAAAATCAAATTTTATAATTTTTCGAAAATGCGGGATATATTGTATCATTCCGGGCAAAAAAATTCAAACGAGAAGCTTCAGTCATTTTAAAAACCATCATTGTAAATCAATCCTTAATGTCATTCTGACTGACGTTTGAAAATAAATTTAAAATTTTGGCACTTCGAATTTATTTTGTCATCACTATCAGCCCAAAATTTTTTCATCACCCACGTGTTTGAGGTTTCTGTACATTTAGTTGGGCAAAACGAACCTAAAATAAGAAGCAACGTTAGTTGTTCATAAATCCAAATTTATACTTAAATGTCAACGGAATTTTTTGTCCGGCATAGAGTACTTCAAGAGTGACGGAAGTTCTGTCGAAACAACTTTCGACCTATTTTTTGTCTCCTGTCTTGCAACATAGAATCGTACCTGGGTTGTGACTGTTTGTTGCTTTGACTTTGAATTTTGATAGCTGGTTGAAAGATTTACATTAATTTTATTTGTTATTGGGGAGATATAGGGGCATGCGTCATTAAGACCAGATTTACAATTTAAATTTTGATCTAATAAAATTTAATTAACGTTATTACATAATTGTGCATAATTAAAACGATCGTAAGTACATACCAGTTTTTGTGTCAGTTAATTAAGATAATAGCGTGCGTTTAACGAATAATTCGTTACGAATGTGTTTAATGTTGTCATTTCCAGAGTGTTATGCTTGGTCCTATTCTTTTTTTTATCTATGTATGTTAATAGTGTCATTTTTTGTAATTTTGTATTTTCGGTGTTGTACTCGGTATAATTTTAGTTTAGTAAATGTTACTGTAATTTTTGCAACGAATTTGATGTTTCTGTTTGTTGAAATATTTATTTTTAATCGACCTTGATTTTAGAATTTTCAAATTTTATCAGATATATTTCTTACACACAACCCTCATAATTATCCCAAATAGTTTGACAGTGAAGATATTTGTTTAGATCCTTTAGAACACAGATACGGTTACCTCCCGGCTTTTTCTTAACAGTTATCTTATCAGGTACATGAATTCTATGATATGCATGTAGCAGTATTCTACAAATAAAAATATTTATCTACTTTCATTATGTAATGTGCCAGATTACAGGTTTGTCTTTGATATTGTAATGGTAGTTTTTACCGCACTAAGTGCGGTAAAGGAACAATTACCGCACTAGTGCGGTAAAGAGTGACTTTTAGAAAAGAAAGTTTCAAAACCATTTATTAACATAAATTACACAGTTTGAAGCATTTATAAAGTTAACACCAGACGCTGTTCCCATGTTGAAGCTGGGCTTCTCCACCGTGACCTAATTTGTTGAACCCACAGTAACTGAAGAACCCGTTATTTTCGTAGCAATTATTTTCTTATTTTCGACAGATGTTTCAACATATCCTTCTGCCATGCTATCCCACTTCCAGCCTCTATGACCAAGCAACATGTTAATTATTCCCTGAAAATTTCCTCTCGGTATAGCAAATTCTACATAATTTTAGTTTTTGAATTCAGTAAGGTGATAAATTCTTTTTCGGCTCTAACGTCTCGTGTCGTAAAATTTGTGATCTCCTCGTGTCGACAAGCACCAAACACTCCGACTATCAAAACAACCTGAAACTATATAAATTTGAGATTGTTTTTTATCAATATGAGTTGCAATTTACCTTCAAAAATAAGAAATCCTTATCATTCATTTTCTTAAGAAATTGATTTATCTCTTCTTTGGAACAAATAAACGATTTTCTGGGTCGGGAACCTTCTGATTTCCGAGAAGAAAGCCACAACCTGATGATATTCAGAAATATCAACATTCTTCGTAATCAACACCAGGGTTCGCAACATGGAATATCGGCACCATAAGGAGGATGGTTTTAACTTCTCTGCTTGTTCAGCAAAATAGGAATGCATCACCTTGTTCAGAAACGTTACCAATTTTCTTAACTTCCATTCATTCATCAAAATATTTGTACGCTATCTCGTAACGTTCTTTAGATTTACCAGGAACTAACGTATCGATGACAGATTGAGTAGCCACTTCAATATCGGAAGGCAAATTATCCTCTGAATCACTAATTTTTGCACATAAATTGCTTTCACTGAACGCTTGTGAAAAACGTAAATAAATCAGTAACTACGGTTACTAATTTAGCCGCCTTATTTTTTCTCCATAAACACAATTTAAAAAATTACAAAAACATCTGTGTTAATTTTTATGAAAATTATTGAAAGTAGATAAAACGTTGTACAATATTTGTATCGTAATATTTCTTTACGATCCTTGATGGATTATCCAACTCGCCTTCGGCTCGTTGGACAATTTTTCCATCGCGTATCGTAAAATTCCACATTACGATACACATATCGTAAATATCTATTAAAATCCATTTGTTTTCTCAGTTTAAACGTTTGAGTTAAAAGAAATATTTGTTTTATCGCTAATTTAGTTAGTTGTAAGTTTATATGGAAATTATCCCAAATAATCCAAATAAGAAAAGGACTAATGGAACTTCTGTTGAAATTAGTTTTAATCAAAAATTCAAAAAGTTTGTCCAGATATATAACTTTTCGAAGAGTCTTTGAATGTGATCTAGATTCATGATTTTAATTACGGATGATGAGAAAGATTTTTGATTTTTGTCTTACTTCTGTTTTTAATAACATTGTTAAGATGAAATTACTAAGATAATTGCATTACGTTTTTATATGCCAATTACGTGTGTTACATCGTATAAACTCCGAAGAAAAACCGTGTATATAAAGTAAAGAATAGGGACTAAACTAAAGCAGTGCATCATGCTGTATTTTAAATTCTAAAATATATATATAAAACTTTGTGGTAACCAGTTAAGCACTCCCGTAGGTTGACTAAATAGTGCAGATAGAAAATGGATGCAGACGATTAACTTATAATGTTATGTTTTATTTTCTATGAAATACCAAATAACATGAGAGATGTTAATTAACATAACCCAATTACCGATATTTGTCTAAATCGTAAAAACGATTCAATAAACTTTAAGCCTAAATTTTAGGTCTCACGATTCACGTGAAGTTTAAGATTTGTGCAATTTGCCGTACTTTTTTACACATTGATTGAGTTTTAATGTAAATGGTAATTTTATGCAACAACCATTAATTTGTACCCAAAGTTATGCAATTTCTTAGATAACCAGTTTAAAAAAAAGAAGTTCTATCTGATATTTCATTTCATTTTGTTATTTGATTTTGGTGCGATTGGTTTTGCATGCAGCTTAGTGAACGAAAGGTAACACAACATAAAATGTTTATATCTTCGGTTCTAGTTATAATTTACTTAACTATTATTTTTCAATTCAATTTTTAATTTACAACAATTAAATAGCTAATCAATTTTATAAATTTTCACAAAATACGGTATAAGTATTAAATTAAGTATAGGCTTCTAAAATTTAAAACATTATTCTTTGGTGTTTTAAATTTTTTTAGATGTTTGCAATACTTCTTGCTGCAACGATTATTCTCGCTAGTTTTGCTGTTTTGGTCTGTGCTAATAAAAGAGATGCTGCGTTACCTCCCGGCCCTTGGAATTTGCCGCTAATAGGATGTTTACACAAGTTGGATCCAGAAAGAGCTTACGTGAATTTGACCAAACTAGCCCAAAAATATGGACCGATCTATAGCATCAGGTTGGGAAAAGTTAGTACGGTGGTTATTTCTGACCATAAACTGTTAAAAAAGGTTTTAATGAAAGATGAAGCTCTTGGAAGACCATCACTCTATTTTTTTGATTACATATGTAGAGGCAAAGGTAATTGACAGGAAATTGGAGATTAAATTGTTTTTCTACAACAAATAGGAAAACTAGGCTTTCGCCGTTCGTCACGACTAACTTTTTCAAACTAATCCAGCTTCAACCTATTAATTTTCACTTCTAGAAAGATGTCTTGAATCAGAATCGTTGGGAATATTTTCACTTTATTTCTAAATTAATTAATTAATTATTATTATTATTATTAGTAACAAAAAAAAATAGATGGATTATTTTTGAGACACGGGATAACGTTCTACTTAAATAAATTGTTTTTTACGTTTATAATTTTTGGACATTCACCTTTTGGAGTCGTAAAAACAAAATCCATGTTGCTAAAACATCACTAAAACTATACTGTACTGATGGGACCTAAGGACGTCGAAGCTGCAGTCTATAGATGTTGATTAGGTTGTCTAAATGTTTAAAATATTTTGTTTTTGTAATTGAACGCCAAATTGGCGTAAAGAATTTTTTAATGATTTTTCTCGAACTTAGGCTTGTGAACGTCATGTACCGTTGAGTTAGTGCTCCAATGTTGAATCAGCCTGTATAACAAATGGCACATCGTAATAAATGCAAATTTCATGCGAATTTATTAAACAAAATTTTGATGAAGAGACAAACTCAGTAAAAATTTTTTTAACAGTTAAATGATATTCTTATATTTAAAATGTGACAGTAATATGACAGATGACATAGACGGAAACCCGGCACTCAAATTTTGCGTATTCTACAAGACCTGTAAACATTGAGAAAATATGAAGTTACAATATTTCTCAAAATGATCCTTTTAAAGCTAACAGAAAATGCAGAGAATTAGAACAATTTCCAAAACTGATTTATGAAGCTTTTGCTCCTTTTCGTAGCATTTATAAATATAAAGTGTAAAAATATTCAGTATTAACATACTTAAAAAAAAAACAAGTGATGTTCAATTTTCTATTGATGTAATTTCATGAATCTTTCTTTGGGTTTTTCTCATTGTCGATGCAATTTCGCTAATTTTATTACGGGTTTTCTCAAAGTTGTGGATCACCAGGTAAAAGAGTACGGTGTTTTTAAGACGAAGCTGAGGTAAATTTGGCAACAAAAATATAATGAATTAAACGCTATAATTAAATTATTATTTAACTGAAATTTTATTTTTTTGATAACTCAAAACTAAATAAAATATCTGAAAGTAAAAATAATAATATAATTCGAGAAGAAAATATTCTCCATGATTTGAAATCACATGTTAAAGTCAAAAATTTATTGTTTCATTTGACAATGTAGGGTAGTCATATATCTAAGTATGTATAAATATAACCGACATACAGTTCTCTTATATTATTATATTTTATATTTTCATATGTCAGCTAAATGTGAGTACCGTATTCTAATAGCAGTTAGAGAAATATCTTACTAATAAGAAAGCAATATTTTAAAATTTAAATTAAGTATTGTTTAAAAGGTTTTCTTACATGTTGTAGAAAAATTAGTGCATGCACCTTGAGAGTAAAGTGTCTTTGTCGATCTCAGTTTTTTCGTTCGAATAATAAAGTAACACCATCAGTGGTTGTTCGTATCCACATATATACATATATCTGCTGTTTTAGGAATAACATACAGCCATATAAATGTATGGAAAGATCAGAGGAAATTTATTAGTGATTTTTTACGAAGTGTAGGTGGCGCTAAAGTTTCAGCAAAAAAAGAAGCCTTAGAAAATGAGATCAGAAGAAGTGTTGAGGAATTTGTATATGTAAGTTTAAAACTTAATAGATCTTATGAAAATAAACATAAAATCAAAATAGGGGAGCATCCTATGCGTATGTTTCAAGTGAGTTTTTATAATGACGTCATCAACTTTTTAGTAGGGAGAATTATATTGAAAACATAGGACCAACAATAATAGCCCCTGCTCCTAGAATTTCGTAAGAGTGAGACAGCAGTTTTGGGTTTAATGAACAAAAAAATTCTTTTTCATTAATTTTTTGACATATATTCGGCAAAAACAGTTCCAAAAAATTAAAATATCACATTGAAGTTGGCTTCACATTTGACTTTGCTTCTTTTTTGAAATCACCTTTTGTTATTTATCAATTTGAAGTATTTTTTTCTTTAGGATAGATTGCTTTTTGGGGAAAAAACTAAACGTTATACAACATAATTTTACTTTGAAATTTTGTACATGGTCTAAGATCAACGTAACATGGCAAATCTCCAACTATAATTTATTTCTCATCGACTCTAAAAACTTGATAACGTAATTTCAAAATTTTGCTAAGTAAATTTCAGTTTTAATGTATGAAATACCACCCTCTAAAATATGTAGTTTCTTATTTCAATAGAATGTCTTAAAAGATTGCTGTATTGCATTGGTTAAGTTAATTAAGATGTTTCTTATTTTGTTGTAGTTGGTGAAAAGTTATGAAGGTTCTGGTATCTTGCTTGCTGAAGCTGTTACAAGCTATGTAGGTACTGTCACCAGCACTTTATTTCTAGGCAAATCGTGCCCACGTGAGGATAGTGCAAAAGCTATTCAAGCGTTGGATGAAGTGGTAAAAATGTCTGTCGTGGCTGGGCCAATAAACTTTTTACCATTTTTGCGGTAAGTAAAAATACCACAATATTATTATTGCAACACTTCTAATTTTAAGGTTTTTACCAATGTATGCTAACGTGATATCTGTTCTGCAAAATATATGGAATAAAATGCATAACTTTGTGAACGAGGTCATTAAATATAATGCACAATTTTCTCCTGATGAGAAAGAGGATTCTCTACCAAGTATAATTAACGCATTTATGCAGAAAAAATCTACTCGTAATTCAGACGAAATTTACAATTTGGAGGAGTTACGGTATCTTATACTAGACATGTTTGGTGCTAGTACCGAAACTACCGTGACGTCGATCTTGTGGACCGTCCTATACTTAGCAAAGTACGAAGATGTACAGGAGAAAGTGCGCCAAGAATTGCTGTCTGTTCTTAATGGGAAGACACCTCAGATGGGAGATTTAGAAAATTTACCATACACGGAAGCAACTCTAGCTGAAGTTGCTAGAATTAGAACAACTGTAGCTATGGGAGTACCTCACTTAGCCTTAGAAGATATTTATGTCGAAAATTTTAAAATCCAGAAGAACACTATGATAATGCCGCTGCTGTGGGCGATTCATATGAATCCAAACGTATGGAACGAACCTGAAGAGTTTCGCCCAAGCAGATTTCTGAACGACGAAAGAAAATTTGTCCAGCCAGAAGAACTTCTTCCATTTTCAGTTGGTACGTATGTAAATGCATAGAATTAGAGATGCATAAAATTTATTTGTTTTAGGGAAACGAATGTGTGTAGGTGAACATTTAGCAAAGATGCTAATTTTTTTATTTATGGCTACAATTTTACAAACGTTCAAAATAGAAAGCTGCGAACCTGAAATAGATTTGTCTGCTGTTTGTGGAATAACGTTATTACCCAAACCACAAAAAGTGGTTTTTAAAAATATAGATAAATAGATATTAATATGGTACTAAATTTAGATATTTGAAAGTATTTCCTACGCTTTATTTACAATTTTTACTTTATAGGTCACTATAAGTGTACATATATATTTTAATAAAGTTATTAGTTTATTAGTATCTTTGTATTTTCAATTTTAAAGTAAAAAGTATTAAAAAAATTGAAAACAGAGAAGTAGTCAATGTTACTGTGTCTTTTGAATTTTGCCAAAGGAAAATATATATGAGAGGACAAAAAAATGGTCGATGTTATTTCGACTGTACTATCCCCGTAGCTGAAACACAGTCCAAGAAATTCGGTTCTTTTGAAAAATTATAAAATTTGATTTGGCGATTTTTGTTTTGTAACAACCTATATAAAATAAAAACCAGTGGCGTAAATAATATGCCCACAGCCCCTGCACTGGAAAAAATTATTATTATTATCAGTACATGCTTAACTTCGATTGTTTTTGTTTAAATATTGAAAGAATGTGCTCGATTTTATTTAGACATCTTTCGTCCTTCACGTACAGGCGAACACTTTGAAAAATAATACGATTTAATTTTGCGAATTTAATGTTATGAGTAAGTTTTTCCATATAAAATTTTTCGTTCTTGATTTAAACATTCATTAATTATTATTCTTTTGGAAAGGATTTATTCCGCACAATTTTGTGATAAGTAATCAAAGGTAAACAAAATTGGTTAACTATGAAGGTTAACAAGTCAAATACAAATTCTAGTTTTAGATTTGGTGCTGCGTGTTTATATAAACAAAAACCAAGAAACAGAAAAAAATTGAGGAGATGGTGCACTCCCAGTATGGAAAATTCTGGTTGAATTTTTACATAGTAACAAAACGAAAGCAAAATATTTCTGATTAAGCGTGAAGCATCATGGAACATTTATAAAAACACGCTTTTCTTGCAATTCTATAAGTAAATCATTCAATCTGTGCAAATTTCATCAAATAACTAATTAGAAGAAAATATTTATTTATTGGATATGTATTTACGCAAACTTTTGAACAACGCAAACAGTGAAAAACAAAAATGGATTCCGACCGGTTTGTTGAAAGCAAAATCGACGTGAAAATAAATAGTTTAACACTAAAAAATCAAAAGGATTTGCATGAAAGCAATTTGAAGAGAATATTTTTGTGTAGTAACAGGGTACGCTTTTGAAAAAAATACAATTGCATTGGAACTCGCTCTGACATTAATAGATTTCGCCTTCAATATGATACCATGTGATGGTACAGAATATAAGGAAAGCGTAATAAAGACAATGGAACAAAAACAAAAGCTCAACAGTGTAACAGAAAAGGTTGTCGTCTTCGCGGGTACAAGACAGAGAGTTAGAAGTTTCTTTAATTGTACATGTAATAATTTTACCTTATGAAAATGAAACCTAGCCTTTGTAAATAAAAATTTCAAATTAGCCTTATTTTTATCATTTTCAACTAAATGTCCGAATTTGATAATTTTGCACTGAAATTCAATTTTTGTTGGTCGTCATCCAGAAATGTAAATGATTTCATTGAATCGATTTTTTTGAAGGAAATAGTAACAAAAATTGCTAGTTCAAATATAGGTACATCTGCTTTACTAGTTGTTTATGGTATCTAAATCAAAATGGTATGATGTTTGGGCACGTCGTAAAAACAGAGAAGATTTAAAATATAAAGTGTACGATGGCTTTATGTAAATTTTCTTGCACAATGTTTCCAAAATTTTTCAAATACCAAAAATATAAATATAATTATTACGCCTATTATTTAAACTTAATGAAGAAAGATTAAATGACAATATACAATAAACCTCCAAATGCGGTCTGGGTTTTTGCTTAACACTCCATCTATGTGTCATCTATGATACAATCTACAATGATTGATTTAAATCAGATTGCAAAGTGAAAATTAATTCCACGATTTCTACTAATAGAAACGAGGAATAAGAAAAATCCTGAAAATTAATTATCGATATTATGAGATTTGTGTAATTTAGTGATTGCACAATAAAATTGCGTCTTATTAAACAATGTTGAGGTAAATCCACGCTATATAAAAAATGAGGTTTAACCAGCCACCTCTTGTTCGGGAACTCCAGACAGTGATTATTCTGAAAATCGTCTTTTAATACCCAATGGCTCATAGTAAGCATGTATTATGATACTATACATACGTTGTTGGGGTAATTCAAAATAATTAGTAAGAAACTGAAGATTAACTATTTCCTCTTCTGGAGATGAAATTACCTCTTCAGAAATCGGTGACTGCATAGTTATCTCACCGTCACGATACTTTCAGACATGTTACTAAAGTTATTTAAAGTGCACAAATCTGGAGTAAATTGTAGGAGTAAGGAAAAGCTGGTGATAAAGATAGATCCGGATTCATTTAATAGAAATTATCCTAATAAGATACCTATATTATATGTATATAGAATTAAATATTTATACTGCGTTAGGGCTAATGGGTATGTTAATGAGGTGAATACATTATGTGCCTGCATTTGAAATAATTTCTCGTCGTGTTGTCGCTGAATTCGGAATGTCTCTTTCGTGGTAGTCAGCGTTTTGTAGTTTCCTGACTAAAATGCCAATGCATCTTCATAAATGCTAGAGTTATGTAATTAATTTATGTATTTATTAATTATTATTTAATGTTTGTTTCAAATTTAAATACAAAGCAACATATAGAAAATTGAGTATTACAAATTATTCCTCTTACGAAACCTTCAGAGAGTATTAATTTGAAATTCATCTGTGACTGATCCAGATTCGTAGCAATATGAAACTTGCATTGTAAATAAATTTTAAAAATATATTCTAAAAACATATTTCTTCGGTTAGGGATTTGCGACAGTGGCTTGGTAACAGAATTAACATTTTCGTGATCCTTCACCACAAACAAGAGCAAATAGATGGAAATGATCAATTGAACTAGTTATTATTAACAATGTTTACTGGTATTTGGTTTAACCTTCTACCACCTTTCGACTGCCCGCATAATAACATTGCCAACATGATCAAGGAAAAATTGTTGTTTTGCGCGCTTTTGGGGTCGCCGCCCCCGAACGAAAAACCGTACGGCCGTCTCCGTTTTTTCTGTTAACCGCAAGAAACCAAAATCACCGCGCTCTTCTACGGTGTCTCTGTACCGTCCCTGCGCGATTTTCGAAGGAGGTCGCCGAGGGAACGATCGTGCCGGACAGTTTGTTCATCCATTTTTGTTAGAACAAATTGTGAATTTAATTTTAATACCTACTAGCGGTAATATTATTTTAGCCGTGTAGCTGGTGGCAAGGAGCAAAAACCCGATTATTGTTAACAATTCCGGAGTGTTGTTTCTTGTTTCCGCGGGCGCTCATGAGACCACCTGGAGATCCGTGTCTCCGGCTTTAGAGCCACCCCGGTGCTCCCTCCTCAAAGAGGGGCCTGGCACTTGAGTTTCATCGAAATAGTTTATTCCTTCTTTATATATTTTTTTATCAAATCCTAAAAGCTCATGTGTCTTTCCGTGTGAAAAATCAATTTCATAACCTATGTCACGTATAATTAACATAAAACGATTAGTTGCATAATTTACATCAAAATAAAAAGGTGTTTGCACTGGCCCACGAAGTGGATTCCATGTCAAAAAATATTCTTAGATATAAATATTTAATTCATTTTCATCGTATAGACCGGTTGGTAATTTTAATATATTCCAATTCTGTTCAACCCCATCTTTCCTAATTTCATTTTGTTTATGATCATCACCAGCTCTTTTTCGATGTTTTATTTCATTATTTTTATACTCTCTATCCCAACTATACCAGAGACTTGCTGTTTCTAAACCAATTTCACGTTTAATCCGGATGAATTAACAGGGTTTTCAGAATAATTTATTTCAAAATCATTATCGTTAGATCTAATAACTAGTGAGTATTAGACCTACCTAGAAACGACGGCGAGTTTTTCGAGAATATCCTTTTGTGATCTGACCTTTGCATGAATTTCATTTTTAAGTGAAGCATTTCTACGCATTAATTATATACTTCAATTGAACCATTTCCAGCATTTTTTTATGCAATTAATAGATCAAGACGTCTACCATTTCATTCGGATCTGAAAAAATACTCGCTTGCTATTTGTCCCACATGAGACTTCGCTGATTTTCCATAGGAAGGAATTTTTTGTGCTTGTGATTATGTGCTCAATTAAATAAGAATAAATGTGATCATATCGAATTTCAAAGAATTATCAGAGAATTTTGGCATTTTGAACAACGTTCTAGTTATTTGTTTTAACGATATGTAAAAGCATTTATGAAAATGAAGTTAGAGATAAGTGAATGGAGAAATGATTTTGAATTATAAGAAAAATAATGAAAAGCTGTAACAGAAAATCTAGATATAGAATTGTGTAAAATAGAAAACAATCTTGGAAAGAGAGCTGTAGCTTAAATTCCTTATGGGGTAAATTTGGTCAGAGACAAAATATGGGGGCAGCAGAATATGTTATAGATGTTGAAAGATTTTATGAAATTTAGATGACAGACTTGATAACATACATATCAATGTATTCATAGCTGCCTTTACAATTGCAACTGTAAAACATATTAGGAGAAATTGTTTTATTACGACACTAATAGCATTGTTTATATAGTTGATGGTAAAAATACTATCAAAACAGAATGTCTATTGGGAGATTACACCGATGAATTAGGTAAGGACGCATGGACAGTTGAATTCTGATTCGAATTCTGCCGTAACAGAAACTATCATAACAACAATAGTGTCAGCTGTTTAGGAACCAGAATTTTTACACAGGATTCGCATGCACCAGCTTGTCAACTGTATACGTTAGTTAGAGACCGTGCGTTTACAGATAAGCACAGTGAGTCATCTTCATCTGACAAGTAGAATTTCACCAGTGGCGGAACTTACTTTCAAACGTCAAATAATAATCACAGTAGTTCTGAAAAGAACTCTTTTCTAAATCGCAACTTATAGCAGAAGAACACAACACAA